AGAAAAAAATAAGAAAATATCAAACAATACATATACTAAAAGAGAAAATAACCCCTATTAATATCACAAACCTACAAACCCTTTTAAGGTTTCATTCGCACTCCCACGGCTCTTCAGCAGCACCCGTAGTCCTCCATCCATGATGAAGGCACATCAGCGCCCAAGCCACCCCCTAACAGTCGAGTCACACGCCGAGTGATCCCCAACGCTCATCCACGCCAGCAGCTGCTACCAACAAGCCCCAGAAGCTCCCTTCCACGCGAGCAGTATCTACCAACAAGCCCCAGAAGCTCCCTTCCACGCGAGCAGTAGCTACCAACAAGCCCCAGAAGCTCCCTTCCACGCGAGCAGTAGCCCCAAGCCAAGGTCCTAGCATCTTTAATTTTGTGCTAACAGTCCCAGACACCCTCCTCCACGTCATTTGCCAGCATGGTGGCCCCAAATTCTCCTTGGATTTTTGGTTAAATGGCTTGGTCTTCTCATTTTCCATTTCCCTTTGTCGTTGTGTTAGCTGAGTGCTGCGAGAAAGAAGCAGTGGCACAGGTTCATTCTTGTACAGTCCCTCAGCTCCTTATGCCCGAGTGGAAGAAGAATTTTGGACTTGCAATCTATTTCAAAAATCTGGTGTACCACTTGATCTAGAGGAATACTCGGTTACTAACTTTAGGAACATTGATGACTTATCCTCCAAAAGACGTGCCGGAGTATCAAACTCTGTAACTCGACCATCACTCAACACCAAAACAAGATCATTGTCGATTATGGTGGAATACGATGTGCAATAGTGCAAACAGTGCAATTCATGAACTCTGTTCTGATGATCTTCTGTGTGAGATTATTGGTGGCAGTATCAACCGATGCTTTTGCCTCATCGAGCACGATTATTCTTGCATGTTTGAGTAAAGCCCTGTCGAGGGTAACAAGTTGCCACTGCCCATGAAATCGTGCGTGTTCTTGGTCAGTGATGAAGAAGAAGATATGAGAGCGGTGAGAGCCAAATTTTAGGATGGGTTTTGAGGTAAAGCTACTTTGACAAAGTTGAAAAAGAAAGGTATTGGATTCGTTGTCGGCGCCAGTGGTTCTTTTAAAGATAAGCGTCTTTTCCAGTTTGCAGAGGGAAATAATTAATTCCCCCACCAGGTTAGACTTTGGGGAAATGGAAAGAGTGGGGCTGTCCCCAGAAATCCACCCCCTTTCTTGTATAGAAAAGTGGTATATAAATGTGTGGAGGTGGAGGAGTTCGCGAAGTGGCATAGAGTGGTAAGGTAGTGGTGATAGTGGTAGGTTATTAGGTGGGTAGTTTGTTGGTAATATTGGTGCCGAGAAATCCGGTGCATGGGTTGTTGGATGCGTGAGAAGCGGTGCTGGTGGAGGGCTGAAACGGTTGTTGACTGGTTCGGGTCCTGGAATCTGTAAAATAAAGAAAAAATATATTATTTAAGTAATATATATATGTGATATATATATGATATTATATATGGATGAAAATTGGTGTCCACAGGTATTTAATTATCTTATTGAATTTATTTTTACGTTGAATCTTTAGGTTAAATATTGATAGGATTTCGTAATCATTGAATATGAAGTGTAATTTAGTTGTGGTAATGTCAATTTATTAACAAGTTAAAGTTGTTATATACATTTTTATGTTAGTGTTGATGATGTTTGTTTTTTTATCAGTAATAATGATATTTATTTGTACCCATCATTTGTTTGGTCAAATTTTTAACACTTTTTTGTATGATCCATTTTATTCTTAGGTAATTAGTTTGTGCACTTCGATTATTTTAGGAGAAATATCCGACTTATATATTTAACTTACTCTTATTTATTTATGAAGATTTTATTATGATTTAAAGTATTTTTTATTTAATAAAATTAATGATAATTAAAAAGTATACATTAAAAAAAGAAAATAAATATATTATACACATAATTTTATTTATAAAAAAATAAATTATTAAATGATTATAGGTGAAATAGGAAAATCAAATGAAATTGAAATGGTTTTTTTATTAACAGTTAAGTAAACCAATGCCTATACTTGGCCCAAATTATTCATTACCTAGCCTTTGCTTAAATCCAAAACCCATATCCAATCCAACCCATAATTAAATTAACCTAAATGCTCAACTCAAAAATATTATTTATTTAAAAGAAAGTAAAAAGGGGTTAAACCTAAATAAATAATTTTTTACAGTACCACGAGCCGAATGACCTTGAGATTTCGGGATCGAGTATCAAGAATACTAGAGATATGAACGTTTAATGTCAAATGATTGATAATTATCTTTAAACAACTATTATCTTGTAATTAATCAAAACAAATCTTAGAGAAGAAAAAAATAAAACTCAATTTAGTCAATTTTAAAATTCTCTCGAATTATAAGAAAAATAAGTCTTTTGTTTTTTACATTGTAAACAACATGCCCATTTTGGATATTAATTATGAACACTTCCCGGAATATTTTCAGAATAATATAAAATCCTTCCTTGTTGCTCTAATATTTGGTTTCTTATCATTGTTGTGAATAGGGGTGATTAAATAGTTGAGCAACTCGTGAACAACTCGAACTCAACTCGGTCAAAACTCGATAAACGCTTCATTCGAGTTGGCTCGACTTTAACTCGATAAACGCTCGAATCAAGTTGGCTCGACTCGAACTCGAACTCAACTCGAGACCTTAACGAGTTGAGTCGAGTAAAGTCTAACTCGACTAGATAAGTTCGCGAGCAACTCGTTAATTTTAAAAAATATATTTTTAGTAATTACTTCAAAATTATTTCATTCAAAAAATAAATCTAAATAATAATTATTAATATATTAATAAATAATAAAAAATAATAAGTTAACTAATCTATTATTTTTTAATAAATAATAAATTATTATTAATTAATAATATTATTTTATTACAAAAAGAAAAACAAACCCAACCCTAAAATCCTCATATAGTATTAGTAAATTTTATTTTTAGTTAAAAAATAAGGGAATTTTTTTAGTGAGCTTAACGAGTAACGAGTCGAGTTGAGTAGCAATTTTTTTTTATGAGCACGAGTCGAGTACAATTTTAACGAGCGTCGAGTCCAACAACAAAATTATTTAATGAACACGAGTCGAGTACTACCCAACTCACGATCGCCTCGCTCGATAATCACCCTAGTTGCGAATGTCTTTAGGTATTTTAAAGCTATAAATAACAATGCGAAAGCTAGACTTTAATATTATCAATTAACTTTTTAACTAATAGCATCAGTTACTTTTATTAAATATACAAGATATTAAAATTATAAAAAAATAAATATAAAGCAATCACATAACATAAGTTTTACATTTTCTCTAAAACCAGCGTAATATACAGATTAATCCCTTAAGCAAAAAAATTATATAAAAATGTTAAAAACTCGATCATATAACTTGAACAAATGATAGATACAACATCATCAACTATGAATAATAACATCATCAACACTTATATAAAATACATATAGCAACGATGACTCGTTAACAAACTGATATTACCGTAACACGACCTAACTTTTTTAATTACGAACATTTATCAATATTCAATCGGGTAATCTAAAATAGAAATAACATTATAACAAAATAACATCGTTTAAAATTTGAGAGACAACGTGAAATTTAAAGCATAGAAAAAATTGCTAAAAAAAGATAAAGAAAAAAGAATATACTACAACAATCTGCAACAAGTAACCCCCATCGACATAAAATCAAAATCAAAGTGAAAAATCTAACAAGGCATCAATCTACAACAAGATTCCCCCATCTGGTTCCCGAAACAGAACAGGGACTGCACCCTCTCCACAAATCCACGTCATGTTTCAAAAGCTATAATTTCTTTTGAAATAAAAACAATACCATATGGCTTAAACAAATTATATTATAAAAAATAATATGATATGATCATGTGGGTTTGTTTGGTGTCACCTTGTGTACAATTAGATAGTTTAATCCTTAAAAAAAAACAAATACAATCGGACAAACATCCAACGAGTTAGATCTTGAAATAAAAGATTCGTGGTAACACTGTAGAGATGGCAAACAGGCGGGTCGGGTGCGGATACCCCCTGCCCCATCCCCATACCCACCTAATATTTTTCAATCCACCACCCGTCCACCACCCATGATGGGTAAAAATTTTTAAATCCACACCCGCCCACGCGGGTACATTCTCAAATCCATCTCCACATCCACTACCCACTAGCGACGTACCCGTCTAGATCCGTCGGAAAATAAATTTTTTTTACGGAAGAGGTTTCGGGTTTTGACTTTTATGAAAAGCAATGATATGTAAAGATGAATTTATATTTACAGTCATTCCAACCAGAGTCATAAATTTGATGAAATTATTAATATCTTCATCACGTTCACAGGTGCGGTCAATAAAATACATTCGTGCTATGCTTGAGACTCTCTGGAAATCTTTTCAGCTTTAAGTGTATATAATGATTCATACTCAACGAAGAGGTTCGACAGGTAAAATTCTAGAATAAGTTTATCTACACCAAACATATGATATCTTGCTAATTCACAATTCACAATTCCAGAATAAGTTTTGACAGGTACAATCAACTCAATGATATCAAATACTTCTTGTGGCACAAATAATATTCCCAATAACAATATTTGGTTAAATTACATGTTATATCTTATACAATATTACAATTTATAAATTAGTCTCTAAAATTATACCTAAATTCATAATGGTCCAAAATTTAATGGATATTTAGCTTGATGGGCGGATGCGGGGCGGACGGATGCGGGGCGGGTAATGACTCAAACCCATTACCCGCCCACTACCCGCGACGGGTATCACTTTCTAAATCCACACTCGCCCACTACCCGCTAAAATTATACCCATCCCCGCCCCAATTGAAGCGGGTGCGGTGCGAAATCCACGAAACTGTACCCGTTTGCCATCCCTAGGTAACAGCATATAACATACGTGGATCAAACATTACAATTCCCCAATATTTCTGTGAAACTTGCTAGTATTCCTCGATGTGCATAACATTATCCTTTACATCTAAACCTGGCATCGGAGCCCGCAATGGAAGCGTACCGGTCCTGAAATCCATGCCCGCAACGGCAAGATCACAAGTGATCGCTGTTCCGATAATACCGGTAGCCTTCCCCGGATCGACAAAGCAATGCATTTCCGATATGGATTTAGGAGTTAATGAAGTCGTCCGGAGGCAATCGTGGCCTAATTACTTAGCTTCCAAAGCCGGAAACTCCCGGAGATCACGGTTCGATCCTATGTTCATCAATGAGGCTTATGACAAGTGTAGGACGATTTGCGCGGAGTATGCCAAGACTTTCTACCTAGGTAGCAAACTCATTTCAACTGATCATCGGGTTTGCTTCTTTAATGGGAAAAATCTTTTGAACATTTATGCGTTAGTTTCTATCATGATGCAGGCACCTTGTTGATGACAAAGGAGCGGCAAAAGGCGATATGGGCAATTTATGGTAATTATGAAGCTCTTGCTGGATTTGCAGATCATTTAGTGTGTTGAAATTCAACATTATTTTCGCGACTAAAATATGTGGCTGCAGTTTGGTGCAGGAGGACGGATGAACTGGTCGATGGACCAAATGCAGACTACATGAGTTCTACCGTACTTGAGAGGTGGGAAGAGAGACTGGAAGATATCTTCGAGGGCCGCCCCTACGACATGCTAGATGCTGCTCTATCCGATACCGTTTTCAGTTTTCCCTTAGACATTAAGGTATAATTAGACACTTGTTATCTGTTTATTCGATCGATCGCAGAACGAATGCCGTTTTATCTGTATCTGATGCAGCCTTTCAGGGACATGATTGAGGGCATGAGAATGGATACAAGAAAATCACGCTACAAAAGTTTCCAAGAGCTTTACCTTTACTGCTACTACGTAGCCGGAACTGTGGGATTAATGAGTGTTCCGGTTATGGGAATCTCACCAGAATCCTCTGTTTCGGCTCGTACCATATATAATGCAGCACTCAACTTAGGCATTGGGAATCAGTTGACCAACATTCTTCGAGATGTAGGGGAAGAGTAAGTGTTCGTCTCGATCATGTCTTTGATCTTGTTGAAACCCCGAACTTATTCCTATGTCTTTGTTTCCTCAGCGCTTCGAGGGGAAGAGTTTATCTTCCTCGAGACGAGCTCGGACAGTTCGGGTTATCCGACAAAGACGTGCTCTCCAGGAAGGTGACCGATGCATGGAGAGATTTCATGAAAGAGCAATTCGTAAGGGCAAGGTTCTTTTTCAATCTAGCCGAAGAGGGAGCTTCGCAGCTCGACAAGGACAGCCGATGGCCGGTATATATATATACTCCGAGAGCCTCAAATCGGACATCGATAGTTTACTCTAGTATCGGACAAAGTTGAGATGAATTGTTCTAACATTGTGAAAACGTGTTTGCAGGTTTGGTAGTCGTTGATATTGTATAGGAAGATTTTGGATGCGATTGAGGAAAACGATTACGATAACTTGACGAAACGAGCCTATGTTGGAAGGACTAAGAAACTGCTCTCGCTGCCCTTAGCGTACACTCGAGCTTTATGGAATCCTGGTTTGAGCATTCGTTGAACTTGAATCAGCATTGCAATTCAAAATGTTCAAAATATATCAATCATCACAAAATATAATGTTAGAAAATATGTTTTATATTATTTTATTTATTTTCTATGGAATATTCTACATGAAAAAGATCTTTTGCATCAGCGTTTCAGTGTAATTTTCATTTTGATAAATAAGCAACATGCATTTGTTCTTTCCTTTTCTGGAAAGACCGTATGGATTTTGGTCGTATTGGTGAGGATGAATGATTCATGCAAATAGAATCTGGCAACGATATTCTCCAAGCGCCCATATGGGAAAAGTGTTTCGGAATGACGAGTAGTGCAGCGTGCAATTCCTCATAAACACTCCTGTAATTTCCTGTCGTAAATAATATCTATGTTACTCGAATTCAGAATCATATTTCGAATATAATTATGTGTCTAATACGAATATATCTTGAAAGATGGTATATCTAACATGTATTTTCAAAGTTTACCTGCTGAGGAAAGTCGCCATCTTCCATCTGTGAATTAATCAAGACCTTTATCCCACGATGAATCGGTGTAGAATCCACATTAGCCTACAAACACAATGTAACATATTCAAGAACTGGTTTTCGAAAGATTTAAATTATTCGAGTCGTGTTAAACACAAGTATGCATCTGATACGAATATGATTAAATGTTGAACATGATTACTAGAAAGATGGAGTTACAGGGAACTTTAGACTCACCTGTCCAGCATCAATGAGGGATAACAGTGCCCATGCTGTTTGAACCAAATTTGCACGGTTGCCCTCCAAGTTGGTATATACCTGTAAAAATGGAGTTCATTACTAAGTATTTTCTGTTCATAGCGTTTGTACATGTGTTACTTCGATTCATTACGAATATCAGATAACGGTATTGTTATATTCATATGTTAGACGCGAGTGTCAGACACGATTACTCAAAGAACATTACCTTATTTTTGCTAGAGAGGTAACTCTCCCCCCAGCCACCATTGGGCAGCTGCTTTGACAATAAAAACTCACAAGCTTTGCGCATTGAAGGACTGTTGTGGTAGTTTCTGCCACAAGCTGCCAGCCCTTCCACGGCAAACCATGTACCATAAGTGTAGCAAATTCCCCAGCAACCGTACCTGTTTCATCAGGCTATCATATAGTGTGTGTATATATATATATATATATGATTGTTCTTGCTCAAATCATATCGAGAATGTACGTTATACTCTACCATGAACCATCTGGGTTTTGTGTATCTTCGATGAACTGAGCCCCCCTCGCTATGCAATGATCGATCTCGACCCTCCGGTGCTTGGGATGCAGTTTCCGAAAGAGTGCAAGGGCTTCGATTGCAGAAGAAGTACATTCTACATACCTAGAGTTAAAAAAGAGTGGATGTTGAAGTAAAATACTAGTACTATGGGCTAAAATCAATTGCATTGGAGAATGCTCACTCTCTTTCTATGAGTGTGTCTTCAAAGAACTCAGTAGGATTGAATTTCTATGTAAGACACAAGGGAAGTTGTCAGAAACACCGGATCATTTCGGATAAGTGCAGGAACTAAAGGTGTAAACGATGTCAAATGAAATACCTCCAGCCAACTATAAGCCCGTTGAGGCTCCCAGGCCGGGAAACCGCCATTGTTGCTCTGCATTAGAAGTTAAAATATGTGCATCATTTGGACTGGATTCTTACTAGAAATGGAATTCTGCTCATGACTTGTGTCTCAAGTAAGAAGTCAGGAATATTGGGCTCTTACTTGCAAGGAAAGTATAACATTGACAGCGTCGTAGAGTTGTTGGGTTTCCATTTTTTCTCCGACGAGGTCAGTTGGCATTTGTGAAAACAAGAGTGCACACTGTATCACATAAACACATTGCCAGCACTTACCATTCTTCCGGGAAAAAAGGTCCAGGAAACATGAAATTACTAGTATAATGGAGTTTGGGTTACCACCTTTAGCCCTTCTGAAGTACAATCAGAGACTTGCCAGCCATGGTCTTGTGTGGAGAATGTCCATGAACCTTTTGAAATGTGTCGGTACATAGCTGAGAAGTCACCAGATGGATTCTCTCGTACCTTTCAGGATAACATCATTTAGTAAGCTAAATTCCAAGGTTCAGATTATCACTGGTACTGATGCAGAACAATATTGGTAACTAGAGAGTTAACCTGTGAAGCTTTTACGAAATCGTGTGCCTTGCGAAGAGTTGGTCCATAGTATTCACTTAGATTACTCGACAAGATTGCCTGAATAGCCAACGCTGCATCCCACATTTGTGAACCAAAAGTCTGCATTTCATAATGTAAATATTATCAACAAATTGTCCCAGTTTCTTGCCATTGGTATTAAAACATGGGATTGATCTCTAACCTGCATTTTCAAGCCATCTTCTGCCATCCAAAAGTAATCTGGAAGTCTAGCTAAGTGACGCTTATACGCCTCGGAGTTAGGATCTTCGACCCAACAGGCTATTAGACACAATACCTTCTCTACACATCCAATGCAGAGGTACCTGCTGTTCTCATCTTCATAATGTACATGTCGAATCGCAACTTTCAGCGCCTTCTCCCTTAGCTTAGTGAACGGCCACCGTGTTAGTATCGGCTCGGCAACATGGTAAAGAACACCCCATGTTAGATCCTGAATAAGAGGATGTGGGAAGTAAAGATCCTCCTGAAACAGAACCATGATTAAACGTTAGTATTTAGCTACATACATGTCGATCGATCTCGGTAACGATAAGGCAAGCACCTTGGCGACAGTGTTTCGAGCTGCATTCCAGTTGATTTCATGGTAAGGTTGATTATACAGCTCTTCTCTTAGTTGTTTAATCAAATCGGTGATGGCACCAACAAATCTCTTCCCGTATAAGTACGACATCGGCATGTAAACTAATCGACAGTAGCATAACATTTTCCCGGGATGAACCGGCAAGATGTTGGGTAGAAGCCAGAATTCCGGTGGCATAGGGTTGCAACCGTCCCACTCGTACAGTCCAAGTACCTGTGTTCAACACATATATAAAACCACTTTCGACTACAATGTTTAACTATGCATTTAGAATCTGTTAACTTGTGACATAAAATACATATATACGTACCGTGACCCAGAACTTTCCCCATGATGGAATCCCGACCAGACCACCATGGTCAAGAATCCACTTTCGACCTTGAGCAACGGCCATTTCCTCGCCGTCTTCGGGCCCTTCCCCCAGCAACCTCAATGTAATGTAGCTAAATGCAGTTCCGAACATCGTACTGTGACCCTCGATATGTAGTCCCCAACCTCCATCTTCATTCTGCATAGAAGAAAGGGTATCGTGCTTGGTATCATGTGAAACAATGGGCGTGTGAGGTCTTTTTTATTTGATTTCAATCTTGTACCTGGTGGTTATAGATATATCGAATGATTTCCTTTTGATGTTCAGGAGATAATATAGCATTAAGTCCCCCAGTAACATACAGCGCCATCACCTACATTATAATAACGTTTATAATGTAAATGGAAGTTATATACTTATGAAAATGACATGTAGGGTGGAAATTTACCAAAGGAGGAAGGAAGAACAGAGGGCCAGCATTTTCAGCAGGCCAGTGACCATCATGAGCTTGAAGAGAAGAATAGAAACTGATAGCCCTTCTCAGGTAACCGTTACGTCCTCCTCCGTCACCGCTTGCTCTTCTTCCACCGTCACCGGCGACGGAATCAACCCACGTGGATTTTCTTCGGTAAGCTGCAAAATTATACATAAAGTAATTAGGGATGTCCTGAAAATTTCGAATTATCACATGTTTAAATATATTCTTTTATATATATATATATATTGGAATATTGTGCGATGTTAACAGCTAACTTAATGCATATTTAGTGCAGATTATATAAAGGTAAAATTAAATACATTTCAAGCCGCCCTTGATCCTGCGTCACAAACAAAGGACACATCATTTCGCTCTCAAAATCGACGCAAACAAGATTAAATTGTCTAAGAACTCAAAATAATATTTAAATATTAAATATTAAATATTAAATATTAATCTAATTAAAATTATTCTAAATTTTAAAATAAGTTAAACCATGGCGTATCCCATATTTTGTGTAGCTATTTGCATCAGATTCATCCGAAAATGAATATTCCAGATTTTATGTAAGAGCGGTAACTATTAACTAAAATTAAGTGTAAACTATTAGTATCCTAAGTATGACTTTTATTTCCTTTTAACCATCAAATTATTATTTGTATTAAAATTATATCTTAATTTTACGTTTTGATTTGATTTTAGTGATTTATTATTAAAATTTAACAATAATACTATTATATCATCATACGAGAATGTCATCATTAAAAATGAATACGAGTGTTCAACTCTAAAACATTTAAAAAAACAATACCTTGTTAGCTAGACTTAATTAAAATGAAGTACGCTATTTTTTTATTAGGTACTTAAATTATTTTTTGATCAAATTAAGTAATGTAATCACTTTAAGTAACTAGTTTTTGTCAAAATAAATCCTTAAACTATACCCTTTTTATTTTAAGCCCCTAAAATGTTAAGTAAATTTTTTTAAACTTTTCTAACTAAAAAATATTAGAACTTAAAATAAATACTTATTTTAAGTACTTAGTTTGACCAAAATTTATTTTAAATACCTAAAAAAATATAGTCTAAATATTTATTTTAAACTAAAATTGGGTGAACAAACTTGCCGAGAAAAGTCATTACTACGAACATATAATAATGAGAGCGATCCCACCACAAAAATCACAAACAAAAAATTTCAACTACAAATTCAGGTCTCTGACCTATATAAAATTTATTGCCGGTATATATAATGTTATATACTTGTATTATGTTGTGAATCATTATTTGATATATTAATTATTAATTTTTTTTGGTATATCTAAAGTTTAGGTCAGGGGTAATTCTCCCAGTCTAGGGTCAGGGCATACTTAAGATTCAAGTGGGATTTATATAGGAATTTACAGATTATTTACTAAGGTGGCGTTTAGTTCGCTGGAATGTTTCTGAGGGAATTGGAATCTGTAAAGGAATTGGAATTCAATTCCATATTCTGTTTGGTTCGAAACATGTCAGATGAATTTGATTTCAGTAATGTAAAATGACAGGATTGCCCTTCTTGTTTTTTTTGTTTAATTTTAGTTTGTTTTATAAATTACATGTAACAATATATTATAAAAATTTAAAATTTAAAAAATATTAAATTTTAATTTTATTGATCTATTATTCATTTCAATAAATTATAAAAATCATGCTAATAAATATCATAAGTTAAAATTATCCCAATTAGGTATGGTCATGGGTCGGATTTTTGGACCATCCGACCCGACCCGAGAACAAGGGAACCTCCATCCGAGACCCGACCCGACCAAAATAAAGTTTCACCCGACCCGACCTGAATATATGAATTAGAAACCCGACCCGACCCGAAATAATAAAAAAATTATTTTTATTCAATAAAAAAAGTGACTTAATTGAAAAAATATATATATAGAGGGGTATTATTGTAATTATTCCTAAATATATAAGGTAAAATTATCTATTTTTTGGGTCGGGTCGAGTCGGGTATTTTTTACCCTAAACCCGAACCCGACCCGACCCTAATATCACACTTAAAAAAACCGACCCGACCCGACCAAAATAAAGTTTCACCCGACCCGATTATATGAATTAGAAATCCGACCCGAAATAATAAAAAATTATTTTTATTCAATAAAAACAGTGACTTAATTGAAAAAATTATATATAGAGGGGTATTATTGTAATTATTCCTAAATATATAAGGTAAAATTATATATATTTTCGGGTCGGGTTAGGTATTTTTCACCCTAAACCCGAACTCGACCCGACCCGACCCGAATATATGAATTAGAAACCTGACCCGACCCGAAAAAAAAAATATTTTTATTCAATATATGAATAAGTTACCAAAATATTAATGATGATAGTATGGTCAAATTTCAATTCTCTCCATCATAGAATGGATGAAATTCATTTTCCCTCATTTGATAGAAAGTTAAAGTCATGAGGGATTCCAATCCCCTTTGAAAACTTGAATCAAATATGAGAAAGTGGTGAAATTGGATTCCAATTCCCTCTAATTCCAAGGAATTCCTGCGAACCAAACGCCACCTAAGAGTGACAGTGATAGAATTCGAACTTAACCATACATGCTCAAATTCCTATATCCTAACAACTTGTGCCAACACTCGTTGATATTAATTTTTTAATAGATGGTTTAATATATTATTATGTATCTTATTTATGTTTTACATATATATATTGTTTTACAAAACTTATGTTTTAAATATTACGAACACATAAAAGATTATTAAGACCGTTTGAAAAAAAATATTTGATTAAGTTTTGATTCGATATAATAACATTATTTTTTTATGTATTTAAAAAATAATTATTAAAATATATATTTTATATTGACGAAACCAATAAATCTTTTGTTAAAATAATTTTGTAAATATATAGTATAATATTTTTCATTTATCTGTGTCGTGAATGTGAGAAAAATTAGTATTTATAATTTAATATAAATAAGTGTAAGAAATGATAAAATTAAGAGTTTGTAAACAAGAAGCCTTTGTTGCTTTGGTGAATCCAAAGCAAATAATAAGAAACAAAGTGAGGTTAAACAAAATACCTGCATTCTCAACAAGAGATCGGAGCTTTGTTTGGCTCGAAATCGATTGTTTTTGAAGTCGAGACGAAGCTTCTCCACTCGGGCTCGTTCTGCAGCGGTTCCGGCGTCGGGGTCGAACTCCCAATGCTGTCTTCCAATGTGATCGTTGACCGAGCTCAGCCATGCTCCGCCTTCTGCTATCTTCAGTTTCCACATCTTTTATTTTTCCTTCTTCTTCTTCAACTTCACTATATCCACATAATAAAACATCATTAATCACAACTATAAGTAAAAATAACAATACTTATTGAGTTGAGTATACGAGTTCTCGTGGTTAAACCCTGTTTATTTTACCTGGCAGAGAATAAGCAGAATTTTTGTGTAAATGGAGAAGAAAAGCAGGGAACGAAAAAAGAATGAGAAGAAGAAGAAGGATGATTGTCTAATACTGAGTGCAATATCCTGCGAGAGAAGAGATGAACTGCCTTTTATAGAAGCCAAGAATGCGAGTAAACGCGCGTAGTTCTATTTGTTCACGTCTTCGTTTTATTTATTCGTATCTATTTCGATTGATCTTGTAGACTTTAGGTTTTCTTTTTCTGGAGCAGCTTCTCATCATTTATTAGAGCTCAGAATTAGGTTATATGGTCGCCAACTTTAGGCAATTAATGCAGCGTATAATTATTTTGGAAAATAGGGTTTCATGAAAAATAATTAACGACTACGATCAATATTATAGTGAAGATGGAATTCATCTTTTTCGATTAAGGAGTTTTATAGAAAATATTTTTTTAGTGGAATTTATTATATCTACTTGACGATTTTCAGGAGCATTAATTTTTGGATAAAGTATACAAATGATCCTCCGACTAAAGAATAATGTTTTATTAAGTCTATTGATTATTAAAAGTTATAAAATATCTCTAGGGAGTTATTTTGTTGAGTCCATCGACTATTAAAAGTTATAAAAATAGCCACTCGACTATTTATTATGTTTCAAACTCATTCTTTTTCGTTAAAAATTTAACGGTCGTTTAAGTTGGACGTTAACATGTTGATTGAGATATGATCGTCATTTTGAGATTAGAGATTAGATTTTATCATATCTCAGTCAGCAAGTTAACGTACAACTCAGATTGTCATTAAAATTTTAACGGAAAAAGACAAGTTTAGAATATAATTGATAGTCGAGTGATCATTTTGTAACTTTTAATAATCAAGTGACTCAACAAATCAACTTCTTATAGTCGATGACTATTTTATAACTTTTAATTGTCATGAAACTCAATAGAATATTATCTTATAGTTTGAGAACCATTTTTTATACTTTACCCTTACTTTTTTTAATTTAATTTAACGGAACTCGTCAAAATAAAATGACAAGTTTAACAAGCAAAATAAAAAATTATGAAAGTTTGAAATATTATATTAACATTTTTCTAAAAATAAAAGTTAAAACTTCGCTATTTAAGATTTAGAGTTTAAGGTAATCACATGACGAATTCTCATGAAGACAATTATTGGGTTTAAAATTTTCAACTGCTAATTTTTTACCGTTTCAACAATTTTTAAACAAATGAAAGTTGCTATCATGAAATGATGAGTTTATGGTGTTACAGTAAGTGGCGGATGCAAAGGTTATTCAAGATGGACACATAGTTAAAATCTGAATATTTTATATTAATTTATTTTTATTTTTATTAGAGGTGTACATCCTAATATTTTAATTACATCTATTTCACATATAAATTTATATTATTAATATATATATAGACCATAAAAACTATTTTTGAATATCTTACTAATTATAATTATTGTAGCGTCCATTTCTTAACTGTTTGTGATTTTTTTAAATATAAGTAGGTGGATTGGTATAGAGTTATGAATTACCTTTTATAAAAACCAAGTATGCAAGTAAACGCGCGACGTTTTACCTGCCCACGTCTTTGTTTTATCTTTTTTCTTTTAGAAAAATCTAATTCAAATTGATTTTGCAGCCTTTTCTGTATGACAATTAATTATCTAGTCAATGCACCGTTTGGAGTTCATCGTTTATTAAATTCTTAATTATTTAATATTATATAATTATTTATGCTCTAATTCAAGATCTTTAAAAATAATAGGATCTTTCTAGCTTTTCTATTTTTTTTTGTTACAAAAAATTTAGGTTAAGGGTGACTCTCTCAATCCAAAGCTATAGTATACTTAGGGCTTAATTGAAATTTACATAAAAATTTACAGATTATCCATAAAAAGGACAATAGTAATATTCGAATCTGACCTTACGAAAGAGCAATATAAAAACATCCTTACAATGTTTATATAAGCTTTAAAGGGTATTAATAAGTTTAATGGTAGGGTAAACACTTGATAATAATCACATAAGGTAGGACCTAAAATCGAGGTAAATATTTCGTAAAATAAATAAATTATGGAAAAATATCGATATTATTATATGAATATTAATATAGTTTTATCATTATTGATATTTGTTGGATTCCTCTTTAATTGGAGAGGTTCTAGAAAATTTTAGAGAAGTATATAATTTTTTAGAACATTATGGAGAACTCTAGAGAAGTGTGGAACTCTCTAGAAGTTTTTGAAAGAGTGTGGAATCCTCTGGAATATTCTGGAGATGTGTGGAACCATATGGAAGAGTATGGAAGAATATGGAAGGGAGTAGAAGAGTTTAGAACTTCTTAGAGTGTGTGGAGCATTCCAAATAACTAACCTCCACCACTGGATGTAAGTAATCTCCACCATTCATTGTGGAGGTGGAGTAGTATAAATAGGGGTGAGAGACTTCATTCCTAACAATCTAAAAATCCAAAAATACTAAGAGAATCCACTTCTTAGAGTGAGAAACTAAAGAGTTAGAGAACCTCTTTGAGAGAGAAGGGAGATAGCTTAGAAAGTCTTTATCCTCAAGCTTGAGTGAGCCACCAAGTATGAGTCAAATTTTGTGAACACATCCTTGTAATCATACTATCTATCGGAACTGTCTTTCGGGTGGGCCCGAAATTAGGCTTCGACTTAGGAAAAACGAGTTGGGAGTCGTCACCGATCATTTATTTTAAAAATGGGTTGATCAAATACCTTATTTCTTACATGATCTGTGTCTTACCAGTGATGTATCAGATTCGGGAGTCGATTACAGTCAAGGAAGGGTTAGCACCCTTGAATTGCCCTTTCGGTACTACGCAACTTCCAGTTGTCTTAATTTAAGAAAATGGTAACTTTAAATAAAATGGTAAAATAACGAGCCAAATTACTTACCTTTGATGAATTTGAAATTGTACCCTCAAAAAAGAATGTTAGATTTAATTAAACAAATATAAAGGAAAAATGAGGACAGAGAGAAATAGAAATAGAAATGAAAATAAAAATAAAAATATATAAAAAAGGAAGATAATAGTAAGTATATGCAATAAGATGCTAAAAAAACTAACAAACACATGGAAATATAAACCAAAGGAAAAAAATATACACATACATACATATATATAAATGTTAGAATAAGAAAAATATGTAAAATAATAGCTTACATTAAATAAAAACAAATAAATAAAATAAATAAAAGTATATACATATTTAATAATAATAATAAGTAATTAAATATTAGGGGGGAAATATTAATAATAGTAGAGAAATAAAATAATGAAAATAAAATATAATAATAATAACGTAAAAATAGCAAAAAAACATAGAAATAAAAATATATATATATATATATATATATATATATATATATAATATATATATAATATAATAATATATATAATAAAAATAAAGAAATAAAATGATTAAAACTATATAAATTAATAATAGATATAAATAAAATATAAAAATATACGTATATACATAACAAAATAAATAATAAAAATGATAGAAATAATAACATAAGGGTCGAATTGAATTTAAAAACAAGTCAGGTTCCTAAATTAAAAGGAAATAAAAATTATAGGCTGAATTAAAATGAATTTAGGGTTGAAATGGGGCCTTTTGTACAGTAGAGGACCAAAAGTGGGATTTCCCCAATTTAATTCAAAAACACGCGGGTCAGAAGCGGTCACGGTCGAAACGGGTTAGCTATAAAGTCCACTTTTATGAAAACAGTCCCTTATTTTCTCATTTGGTTCAAAACGAATCAAAACAAAATTTTCTAAATCCTCTGTGTTTTTCGCGTGTTCTTGAGGGATGAAGAACACGACCGTGGTTTCTAGAAACCGACCACTGCGCCACCTCGCCGACCGCCGTTCATCGGCGGTGATATATATATTTTTAAATAAAAGATTTCGAAAGCTTTTTCATCTCCCAACCCAAAAATCAAAATATTTTTTTGAAAAACTAGGCCCCGGGGGGTAAATCTGAGGAAGAAAATCTCAAAACGTACCCCTGTTCATCGGCCGAACCTCCCTTCGAACCACAGACGAAAACGTCAAGGAAACATGCAACCACCATACACGAGCAAATAATAGCCAAACGAGGTAAAATAAAAATTATACCTTTTATTTCGCGTTTCTTTCGAACAATACAAATCTTGAATGCAAAGATCTTACTACTTGCTATAGACTTTCTCTAGTATTTTCGTGTATACTCTCTCGTAATCCTAGTGTAATATCCGTGATATCTCTTTTGATTACAAGTTTATTTATACACAAAAAATGACATCTTTGATTCCTAATCAAACTCTATTGCTCTTGTTTATTGGTGATGATTCTTGCGCTGGACGTTTCGGGGTGTTGGAGTGTGTGGCCGTGCAACTCGGAGAGAAAGGCGTGAGGCGTGGGATTCTCGGTCATGTGGCGTCGTTGGAAGTAATTCATGGACTAGGGTTCTGGAAACCCTAGTTTCCAGGTGGGTTGTAGGCTTTGGGTCACTGTTGGACCAGAGTGTTCGATTGGGTTGTTTTATTTGGGCCTGAAACAATGTAAATAAACATATATGTAAATATGTGTACAATATATGTAATAAAATAAATAAAATCTATAATGTAAATATATTATATAATATTAAAGGATAAAATTTGGTGTCTTCAGCTGCCCCTCTTTGCTCATTATCGTGTAACGAAAATAGAGCAAAGATTAAAAGACACAAATTTCGCCCATATCTAACATCCTCTGTCGTAGAGTTGAGATCCGATATTTGACTGGTTTGTCGATTTGAAATGAAATATGAAATGACCCTCTCGTCGTGAGGTTGAGTCGAACTGGAGAATTCTGAGCACGAAATCATTCATCGCGAAGTTGAAAATCGTACTCAAAGCCTTTGGCAAGTGACTCCTGGATCATCTTCTGGCTCAAGATACTTCGTTGTGAAGCTGAAACTTGGTCTTGAAGACTTCGGTGTTGCTGTGTTACAGATGACTCATTCGTCGTGAAGTTGGGTTAATCTGTTGGGGTATGATACCCTTTATTGTGAAGTTGAAATTATACACGGCCCCTT